ATCTGACTTGTTATCACTTAGATCATGATTTTAACCACTTTTTAAAGCAACATTTGTAGCATGCATCATGCATGATATGTCAAACCCATATATAACATGTATGTATAATATGTACACACATGCGCATATGTAGACATGTGATAAGAATTGTTTAAAGTGCTACAGCACCATGTGCAGATGTTACACAGTGTCGGGAGCCAACCAACAGCTGACCCTTGACACAGTCGATTTGGGTGAGACACATCTGCACAGCAGAGGCGACTGGCTGGATCTCCTGTCTATCTCTTCCTGTATGCCTGTCCCTGCTAGCAATAGGTGGTGGGATTTTTAGATACTTGTGTGTTATAACAAAAAACATGCACGATGCCTCTGATTCTGCATGGAATGACTTGCTGACCACAGAATAGAGACCCCTGGCAACCCTAATGCTGCCTGTTTCCCCCACCTGGGAAGTTAAGGACAAAATTAAACTATGGGCAGACTAACTGCCAGAATGCTGAAGGAAGCTGTTGCTAGGAATGTTTCTTAAGGAGTCACCACTCAAAAGCTTAAGATTTATTAGAGCCATTACCCCTCCAATACCCTGGAGAAGAGTGTAAAGAAGCAAGGAGTTCTAGTTGGAAATAATAATCTCAATACATGGAAATGAATACAAAACATGCCCCCCCAAGATATATAAATCAAAAACCTAGGCAAAAAAAAAACAGTTACCTAACCTAGACAAATCTAACCTTAACGGATAATAGCTAATTTCTATATAACCTATAAATCACCCCTTGTACCCTTTTAATTTAGACCAATCCCTAGAATCTTAATAGACACCTACTTACTAATTGGCACCTGAAAGTTTATGCCCATATAGCTTCGTTGGCTATCTGATTAATAACCCTCTTGGTCAAAATAACCTTTGTTTAACATGGTTGATCTGTGGGGCCTCCTGTATTTTTTGGTTATTTTTTGTTTAACATGATTGATCTGTAAAACCTTCTGTGTTTTTCAAAATTATTTCTATGGTAACCGTTTCTGTTTTAATAATCACACTATGCACTGAATGTTGTATAACCTCCCCTATAAACATAAAGATTGATTTTTCTCAGTGAGTCAGTCAGGCCCAAAAAGCCTGGCTGTCCTCCGGCCCCCACCGGGTCTCGCTTCAGTCACTTCGCCTTAGCCATGCATCCTCTGGGACCCTGAGACCCTGCTGAGACTGGACCCTGGCAATGCAGAGCATGCTTCTTTGTACCTGGAACCATAAACTGGAACACAAAGAGAAGAAAGAAAGTGGGTGCTGGCACAAACAGGACACAATTGTTTGTTTGCAAAACTCTACTGCATTCCAGTTATCTGAGGGAAAGACTTAACAAGTTAATTTGTCTTTTCTGAAACATCCATACCTCCTCTGCTCATTTCTTTCACACAGGCCTGTACAAAGGCAGGCTTCTCTGTCAACAAGGGCCCACCAAGCCCTATGGCATTTGGGTCCAGTCCCCTTGGGTCAGGACATGGGGCAGGCTATGGGGAGAAGCACTTCTGTGAGGTAGGAAGGATATTAGTCACGAGAGCCCTCTTTATAGGTTACAAGTTTTGCTGGGCCAGCATGGGAGTGCTGGAATCCAGGTGACCCGGAAGTTCATGTGTGTTTCATAAATTCACCTGAGTGTTTATGTTCAAGACTTTCTAGAGCCTGGGGTCAGGGTAGGATCCCTCTTGCCTGACTCTGTTCCCAGTGCCTGTCAAGCAGCCCTCTCTGCACAGCTCTCCCTCCCTCCCTCTGTGTCTGGATTCTGGTAACCACTCTCTCAGGCCTGCAGATGAAAAGAGCAGGCTCATTGGACTGGCCTTGGGCCACCACACTGTCCCTTCTGGTGTTCTTTCACCCTTCCCACTCCTTCCTTTATAGTATCCACTTTCTTAGGCTCTCTTCTAGTTGCTGTCATCTGAGAAAGCCATATGTTTCCAACCAGGACCCACCCTGCTTCCTGACTGAACAAAGGCCACGCGGAGTGTTAATTTCCTGTTGGCAAAAGTGTGGTGGATACAAAGGGAGTCATGCTCAGTGCCTCTTTATTGCAGAAAACCCTGCTATAGGAGAGGAAACACACAATGTAACCTGGGAAATGTGGATAAGAAGAAAAGGGGTTTATAGTCAACCAAAAAAATGTATCTTACATTTTTTCACTCTTGGACCTTAGGTACACTGAATAAAGTAAACCCTACTACTGCTGTAACAAACAACCCCCAATGCCTGTAGTTTAACACAGTGGAAGTTCTGTCCTGAACCATATAACATTTCATTGTGAATGTTCCTGGTTCAGACCTTCTTGGGCATCTCTCTTCCAGTTGAGGACTAAGGGACCCAGACTCCTTCTGTCTGTAGCTTCACCTCCTCTAATTCTTTAGGGTCCTCTCCATCCATCTGGCAAATGGGAGACAGCATGGAGGATTGCACAGAAGGTGTTACATCACTTCCTCTGGAGGTAATATATACACATCACTTTCTCCCACACTGAATTGTCCAGAAATCACTTGTTTGACACCCACCCATCTGTAAGAGAAGCTGGGAAATATATTTAGCTGTGGGACCAGGACCATGGTAAAGCAAGAGAGTCACTCTCCTCAGACTGAAGACATACGGGGAAGGCAAGAAACTCAGTGTATTTTAAAGTTATTATTGATTTCATTACAGCCAGGTAGGTAGGTAGCCCTGGCCAGGGTGGCTGAGTTGTTTGGAGCATCATTCCATGAACTGAAAGTTCACAAATTTGGTCCCTACTCAGGGCATGTGTGATGTATCTCTCTGGCATTGATGCTTCTCTCCCTCTCTGTCTTCCACCCTTCCCCTCTCTCTTTCTTCCTCCCTTCCCCTCTCCTTCAAATCAATAAACATGTCCTTCGGTGAGGATTTTAAAAAAGCCACATAGGAAAAATTATAGTAATTTTTTTGGTATAAGTAAAATATTTAAAACTAAAATATTGTGAGTTTTAATAGTCCTGCTTTTCAATTTTTCAATATTTTCAACACTTAAATGTTTTGTTAAAATTGACCATTAAAAATACACGAAAACATAAACATAGGGATCCACACTTTTGTGTGTCTAGTAGGAAAAGGATCTAGGTTTTGAGGAACACATAACAGTTTCTGCCAATTCTTCATGCTTTATTGCTCATCCTTTATTAAGATATAATTCACATACCATACAATCCATTAATTTAAAGTGTATAATTCAGTGGTTGATTTGAATGTGGTAAAAGCTAAAGGTTGAAGTTGAAGGTTGACCAGTTAGCTCTGAACAGAACAATCCTCCTGAGTCCCTGGACTCTCCAGCTGACACCATTCAGTTGCTTTCATCTGATGCCTCCAGAGGTGAGGACTTGGTAAACTTTTCATGCAGTATGACAGTATTTTTCACTATAGTGACCACGCTATACATCATATCCCAGGACTTATTTTACAACTGGAAGTTTTTACCTTTTGACCCCCTTTATTTATGTCACCCATGCCCCAGCCCCCATCTCTGGTAACCTGTATCAATGAGCTCATTTTCTTCCCAGATTCCACATATAGGTGAGATCACATGGTAATTGTCTTCTTCTGCCTGACTTATTTTACTTAGCATAATACCCTCAAAATCCATGTACATTGTCATAATATTTCTGTCTTTTTAATGGCCAAATAATATCTCATTGTCTATACATACCACATTTTCTTTATCCACTAATCCATTAATGGGCACTTAGGTTGCTTCTATATCTTGGCTGTTGTAAATAGTGCTGTAATGAACATGCGGGTCCAGATATCTACTCAAATTAGTGTTTTCCTTTCCTTTGGATAAAAACCCAGATATGAAAATTCTGTATCATATCAGTTAATCTCTTGTTTCACTGAATTTTGACTTTTGTCATTTTTTTAAAGAAAATCAACTATATTTCCTGAGTTATTACATATTACATGTTTGTCTGTTGCCTTTGTAGCTGAATAATAACTTTAGCTAAGTGTAAAATTCTTGGGTTCTTTTAGTTTGTGGTTTTTGCAAGTATTGTTCTACTGTCTTCTAATGTTGAATATAGCTGTTTATTAATCTAAGTCAATCTAAATTTTTCTCTAATAAGTGACTTAAGCCTTTTTTGCTTAAATGCTTAAAGGATTCTTTCTTTCTCTTCAAAAGCCAGTGATTTTACAAGTGATGCCCTGATGCTGGCTGTTTTGTGTCAAATTTTCTGGTATGTGCATAATTACACAGATTTCAAGCATATAAAAGAAAAATGGTATAAATAACAAATTGAAAAATCCACAATTTTGTGAATTATGGCATGGATTCAGCTGTGAATTACAGAAACAAACAAACAACACCCAGGAGCTTAAAAGTTATTTTCCTTACATAAAGAGAAACCTAGAAGTAGGCTGCCCAAGGTTGGCACAGCAAGTAGATCTATGACACCCGCTTCTTGGAGAACGTGGACTCGCTGAGGAGCACACCAAAATCCTCTTTAATATCCACTAGAACCTTGGAGTAAGCCTATCACCTATATCTCAAGCTTAAAAAATAAAGAAAAGAGATAGAAAAAAATTTTTTACACATTGAAAATTACTGAAAAAGTATATATATATTCAGGCTTTGCACAAGGGTAGCTCTGATAAAGTAAAATGGATTCATCTTATACCTTTGCAAGGCTTGTTGATACTCTACACAGAAACTCCTGCACATAAATTGACAATCCTCATACTCACTGATGAAGTAGATGTTGCTGGCTCTATCCTTTCCCTCTTCCCCTCATCACTGCTACTCCTTGTGGGAACTAAACCTTTCAAGATGTACTGGACCACTGCCAGGCTGCTCTCCCTGCCACCACCCACATCCCAACTCCTACTGGTTGGTTTTATGGTCTGTGCATTAGAAAGAGATCAGAGAAGGCGGGCAGTGGACTGAGAAGAAGGGCTTGCAGGCTTGACCATCACACCAGCTTCTCCATCCAGAAAGCCCAAAGACCCGCAGAAGCGCTCAGGTGGGGCAGATGAAGGAGAGGAGGAAGTCCACCTCATTGCGGACAATGAGCCACCCTGGGTGGATACTGTCTGGCAGGGCCAGGCTGGAGATCATTTCCCAGGCGTCCACAAAGGCCACACAGAGGTCAACAAAGGCAGCTTGGAGGAGCCAGTTCATCTGAAGGGTGAACCAGTCCCTGCCATACACGGACTTGTAGCCGGTGTTGGCCAGTTTGATGACCACAAGAGTCAGGGGCTCCCAGGCCAGCAGTGCAGCCACGGCTGCCCGGATCCCTGCCAGTCCTCACACAAAGATGGATGGCAGGAAGGTGGTGAAGTGGGCACCCAGCCCCAGCACCACCACGGTGTGGGGGCTCCTGGCCAGGCCCCCCAGCTCCCGGACTACGGAGTGCAGGGAGGCCACTGTAGTGCGCAGGGAGCGCAGGGGCCAGCTGTGGGACCACCAGTGCAGCACTATGTTCTGAGTGGTCTCCACCGCCATCAGGGGCCCTGTCTGATAGGTGGCATGTAGATCCATGGGCTTCAGGGCTAGGGGAGGCAGAGACAAGAGGCTTAGGGGTTAATTCAGGACTATAATTCCTGATTCAAAAATACAGAAAATCTAACATTACTTTCCTCTATTATTCTATGGCCCAATCACCCAATTTTACTCTCCTAATCTATAATACTGTCAGTGACCTCCTAGTTACCAAGCGTGAAGACCTGTTCATCCTCCACCTCCCTGGCTCCTTGCAGCATTTTGTCTCATTGATTTTCCTTTCTTAGCAGGGTGCTGTCACTCTCTACAGCCCCCTTTCAGGCCTGGCTCTCCAACTCAGATTCATTCACTGGCTCCCATCAGTGGCCACTGGTTGAAGACTTGCTCCAGGCTAGAGACTCGGGGTTGTCCAGTTTTTGTCCTTTCACAATGGTGCCCAGCCTAGGGGGGGGCAGCAACTCCTGAAATATAGTCTCCTTGGTCATGTGTGCTGACAGAGAGCTAGACACACCTTCAGGAAAAGGCCCTTCATTTCTTTGCACAAAGTCCCTGTGTGCTGGCTCCACAGTGAGCTCCATGGCTGTGTGGGCACAGAGGCCACCTTTCTCTGTCTCACAGGAAGGTGCTAGATCAGCTTGCAGAGTCTCTGGTTTTCCCAACCTCTGTCATGAGCTTCCATCCATCTTTAAAAACATCTCTTGCCTAGAAAACTCACCCACTCCACCCGGCTGTGAGCAGAATTGTCCCAAAGGGACTGGAGTTTCTTTTTTTCCCGAAAGGAGGGGCTGCACCCATACTAACCTTCCCTGGAGTCTGGGAGCTTCAACCACTCAAACAGAAGTGTAGGTAACTGTCCCACAGACCTCAAGGTCTCTAGGTGGGGGCAGCTGGTATTTTCCAACTTCTGGCAAACAAATGGCAGCCCACATGTATTTGGTGCTAAGACTCCCAACAAGGCTGTTCTTCTGTTTGTAGGTAAGAAGGGAGACCTATGATGGGGGGTGGGAGTCTCCTCCATGAGAGCACAGACCCACCCTGTTGGCCCCACACACCTCTCTCTATTGGATGGTGGGGGAACACGTGGGGGACTGGGCTGGGAGCTGATGCTCTTTTTTTCCCCTGGCTCTCCTGTGGCTCCTTTCTGCCATAAGGCATACTTCTTAGTCCATGTTATATTATATTATGGAACTTGTGCTTGCAAGGCAAAGGCCCTGCATGACACTCTCACCTCCTTGAATTTCTATCTTCTGAAGAATAAATACCAAAACTTTGTCTGAAGCTCAGGCATCTCAATTCACTTCCAATTCCATGTCTTCAAATGCCTCATCCACATGTTCCCCAGAAACTCCCTCCCTGCCACCTCTTTAACCCAATATGCAAAAGGTATAAAATAAATACGCCATCTTCTCTCACTCCTGCCCCTTGCTCCCACAGCCAGTAAGCACCCCAGTGACTTTTATTCTGAGTACATTTTGTGGCTATCCATAGTAATCTGATCATCTCTCTTTATTCCAGAACCAGGCAGTCAAGAAGCCTGCCAATTCCTTTAGCATGGTACTTCCTTTACCGCTAGCACTCTTATTTCTGTACCAGTTTAGCTTCTCATCACCTCACATGGTGACCATACAATTGTCTTGTAACTGGTCTTTGGTCTTTCTTTTTCAATCCAATCTACCCAACAAACTAAAAACTCTGCTTAAAAACATTTAGTGCCTCCCAAATGTCACAAGACAAAATCCTTGGTTTCTCTACAATTACTTTCTTAAATTACAACTCTATTCCTCCAGTATCCCCCAAGCAAATAATTAGTTCCAACCAAGGCTACCTACTCATGGATCATCAAACCTGTCTGCTCTCCTGTTAGAGCCTCAGATTGTCTACTTAATTGTTGAGGTTTTGCACAGTCTGGGCACTGTTTCCCATCCCGTCCTGTGCCCCAAACCCAGGTGTCCTGTCCTTACACAGCACTCCATATCAAGGTAGATGTTTTCTGCCTTCTCAAAGTCCTGGTTCTGCTCTTTTTCTCTTAGGAGTCCTCCCCTCTCCTCTCATGGCCACTCACAGGGCACAGTGTCATGCAGATACTCCCACCACTGCCAAAGTGTGGAGTCCCCCATCATGTGGATGACATGACCAGCCAGGCAGTCCAAGATGTTGTCAACCGTGGAGAAGGTGCAGCCGGAGCAGGACAGTGAGTGCCACACTCCTTGGTAGTAGAAGCCAGAAGGCTTTGGGCCTGGGATCCCAGGATGGCAGAGCTGTTTGGGGGCAGCACTGCAAGCAATTGTTTGCAAGCAAAACAGTCAGTGAATATGGAAGAAATGAAAGCTATAGGCATGGAATAAATGCTACCTTTTCTCTAGGCCCCAGTGTCACTTTCCCAGACTCCTGTTGCTCTCCTCTGCCACCCAGATTGCAGAAATACCCTGAGGGAGGACCTTATCTGTCATGTTCCTGAAGAGAAATTGGCAAGAAGGGAGCCCTTAATGGAAATGTGTGATAGGAAGAAATTCTAGGCTAAGGTGACATGAAGGTTGTTGGAGGAAAGGAAGTTCTCAAAGTCAACGGCATCTGTCCAGTGTCAGGGCTCCTGGGAGACAGCTTGGGGAAGAGAGAGTGCTTGGGAAGTGAAGTTCAGGGATCCAGGTCCTTAAAATTCCCTAGCCTCAGGGATTTCATCAGTGTGGAAAGCAGATGTGTTTTAAAATGTACCCAGGATTTTGGTTTTACTTAGATATGGTGAAGTCAATAGATCAGGAGATGATTGCCACTGAAAAGATAGTGTGTTACTCTATCTTTAAAGGTAATGAATGAAGTCCTAGAGGTGGGGAGGGGGCATGGTACACCATGGAAGGCTACATGGGGGAAGCACCAGGGTTGGTCAAGAGGCATAAGAAGCAGGGGAAAGTGTGAGTAAAATACTTTATTGCAGTTTTTTCGGAAAGGAATGGGTGAGGAAGGATGAGCAGCTGAGTGGGTTTAGGATTGGATCATTTGAATAATTTCAATGGGCTCTGGGCTACAGAAGTAGTTGCCTGGTACTTGGCCCTGGGGTGATTTCAGGCAGGGAGATGGTGTTTGGCTGAAAGAACCTGATAAAAGGAGGAAGAAGTGGTGTAGACTGGGGAGTGGGTAGGTTGCATATCAAAGGCGTGCTCAAGGCAAGATGTTTGCTATCTCTAGGGGTTGGCTAACACTGGGAGGGGCAGGCCCACAAGGCCCCAAGATGTCAAAGCATCACAAAATATAGAACATGAAAAACATGATTTGCTCCAGCTGGTGTGGCTTAGTGGGTTGGGCATCATTCCACACACTGAAAGGTTGCCTGTTTGATTCTGGGTCAGGGCACATGCCTGGGGTGCAGGTTTGGTCCCACATTGGGGCATGTACTGAAAGCAACTGATAGATGTTTCTCCCTCACATCAATGTTTCTCTCCCTCTCTTTCTTCCCCTCTTCCCCTCTCTCTAAAATTAAAAAAGAAACAAAAAACAAAAAAACAAAAAGCATGATTCAGCCCTGGCTGGTGTAGCTCAGTGGACTGAGCACAGGCTGTGAACCAAAGGGTCGCCAGTTCAATTCCCCGTCAGGGCACATGCCTGGGTTGCAGGCCAGGTCCCTAGTGGGCGGCCTGCAAGAAGCAACCGCACAATGATATTTCTCTCCCTCTCTTTCTCCTTCCCTTCCCCTCTCTCTAAAAATCAATAAATAAAATCTTTTAAAAAAACATGATTCATACAAGAAGGTGATTGGATCCTTTTGCAAGAAGTCTTAACTCTCCTGTTGTCTCACTGAGCTCACTCCAGCTGGACTCTTACTGCCAAAAATGGCAAAATCCAATCAGTTCTTTGTCATTCCTGACCATTGGTCAGCCCAGCAGTAGCTCCCCCTTCCCTGAGGCATGCTCTCTCCTTGGTTGCCAGGACACCTCCCTCTCCTGGTAGCCCCTTTTGCTAGTCTCCTTCTCCCCAACCTTTTTATATCGGAGCATCAGACCCAGTCCTTGCTCCTCGGTTTGGATCACACTCCTTCCCTTGGTGGTCTCACTCAGCCTCCTGACTTTAACTTCCCCAATTAGATCTCCAGCCCAGATTCCTCTGTCAAATTCCAGGTTTGTATATCTGACCATCTGCTCAATATCTCCACTTGATATCTGATACTCGTGACCAAATTCCTGATCTGCACCCCACCCTGCCACACCCAGAGCTTTCCCCACTTCAGCTGATGGCAATTCTGTCCTTCCAGGTGAGCAGGCCCCACACCCTGCAGCCATCTTCGAGTTCTCACTTTTTGGCACATTCCACGTCATGTCTCTCAGGAAACTCTATGGGTGCTGCCTTCGGAGTATATCTAGAAATGAATCACTTTAGACACCTCTACCACTGCAACCTGAGGTCAAAGCCTTCTACCTTTCATTTTCCCAATGATCCTTTTATCTTACAGCAAAACCCATCATATCTACAGAGCCTTTCCTATTTATGCCGTATCTTTCCCTTAACCTTACTGATCTTTTCACCATCTAGCTATGGGGCTTCCTTACGGTTCCTCAGACACACCAGGCACACCACTGCACTCCCTCTGCATGGAACCCTCTTCTCCCAGGTACAGCCTTGGCCAACTCTCTCATCCCCTTGAAGTCTTTGTTCAGATGTCACCTCATTAGAGGTCCACGCTGACCCCCTATTTAACATTGCAAACTGACCTGGACATACTCCTAATCCTCACCACCTCCATATTTTAAATTTCCCATAGTTTGAATCTCCTTCTAACATCCTATATAATTTACTTATTGTTATGTTTATTGTTATTATCCCTTTCTTTGTTATATATATAAGCTTTACCAGGGTAAAGTCCTTATCTGTTTTGTTCCCTGCTGCTTTCCCAGTGTCTATAGCAGGGCCATGCTTGTAACAGGTGCTCAGTAAGCATTTGATACAAGAAAGAATAGACCGATTGTAGAGGTTGTGTCCCAGGAGTGATAGGGGACTTAAGACTTGGAAAATTTTAGTTTAAGGTAAATAGTTGAGCCTAGAAGTAATATATATGTTAAAGCTTTTGTTTCAGATCCTACAGGTAAGGCCCATCCTGGCTCTTGGGAAAACAGCTGACCTCCTGGGGCACTGCTAAAGATTGCCACCTGGGGACAAGCAGAGGCATCTGGGCCCTTGTGTTCCAGGAAGAGATAGACAACCACCTGCCCCTGGGAATAGCTAACTGCCCAGGGCGAGAATACTGTGTTGTTTTTTTTTAATCTAATTTTCCCTGAATTTCAAAACCCCTCACCACACTTTGTTCTCTGTTATAAAAATGCTGGCTTGGAAAGAAAATGTAAGATGGTCTGTTAGGGTATGAACCTGCCATCTTCTCAGATCACTGGCTATCTGAATAAAGCGCCCATAAAGATTCAATCGCTGTCATTGCTTATTGGGTTTGGTAGTGACAGGCAGCCCAAAAGCCAGTGTCTTTTCCAGTTTCAGGAGGAGAGGGGAGTTTGCTTTCAGAAAGAAAAAGGAGAAAGAAAACATTCCTAGAATCTAGAAAAATGCCCAAGTGTGGCCTGTCCCAAGAGTGTCAGGTCCCTAGAGCCCCAGAGAGGTTACAGAGCTTCAGGGAGCAGGTGTGGGATTATCCCAAGGACTCTAGACCGAGCTGGAGATGCCTGTCCTAGCAGAGCCCAAAACCACTCAGGCTTGGACTATGGGCACTCTGGAGTGACCATTGTGGACAGTTGACTAAAGAAAGAAAGATCCCTCATGATCAAGTGTCAGTTCCTCGGCAGGATCCTAGGCCAGGGGAACCCTTCGCACCAGCCCTGCTATGGAGGCCCTCAGAATTGGACTAAAGTTGATGTAAAGAAAACACCTGACCTTGGGATTGCAAATTCATGTCCACTACACATTCGTCACATGTGTGGTTATCTGTTTAATGCCTGTCTTCCATGAGTACACCGTTAGCTTCTGCAGGATGAGACCATTCAGCCCTGCTCTCCTCTCTCCAGGACCACTAGGACTTTGGATGGTGTCTAGCACAGAGCTGGAACAGGGAGGTGAAGCTCAAGAGGAACAAGCACCTGAGATCAGATGATAAGAGCTAACAAGCCAGGTATGTGCAATCTCTCTTATAAGCCGTTTACATATATTAATTTATTTGTTCCTCACCACAAGTCTGTGAGGGTAGTATTATTATTATTATCCCCTTTACACATGAGAGAACAGAGGTGCAGAAAGGATAGGTAACTTGCTAGAGATCACATGCAAAGAAGCTGGCAAACAGTAACAGTTGCAGAAGCGATTTAAACCTTACAGTTTCACTCCAGAGACTCTTGGGTTTGACCTCCAAGTGACGTCCTGAGATTGAATCTTAGATTTATTTCCAATCAACCAAGGCCAAAAAAGATAAGTGGTTTTCCTTTTCTGACCAAAGGGAGCATGAAAATTGGTCCTGGTACTAAATTTTCATGTCAGGAGGTAAATGTTAGTGGGAAGTCCCCAGACAGGAAGATGGCCGAGGGCCTCCAGAGGTGGGCTCTGGCAGAGCTGGCACTCAGGTGTCTCCAGCTCAGCTTGCCTTGGCGCTTCAGGCCCGCTGGATCCTCCAGTCCTCACAGCAGCCAGTGATAACTTCCATGCTCTTCAGGGTGATGGAGCCCAGCTATCTCACCTGTCAGCCCTCCCACCTGAATCTCTGCCTGTAGCCATAGCCTCTTCTCTCCCTTCCCCCTTCTAGGGAGTTCCCTCCACCTCTCCTGGTCTCTACTGTACTTCCTACACCAGCCATCTTCTGGGGCCCTGTTTTTGCTTCCTTCTCCTATTGTCTCTCTGGAGACCAGAGACCAGATGCCCAGGTCTCCCATTTTAAAAAATGCTTCCCTCACCCCTGGGGTCTCTCTAGCACCAGCTCTGCCTCAGATCTCAGGGACAGAAGGGCTCACTGTGAACAAGTCTGTTTTCACAGTCTCCTCTCCCTCACTCGCATTCTCTCTCCACCCGGGAGGCTTGCTCTCTGAAACTGAGGACAATTCTCAGCCTTTGTTTTGCTTGGTTTCCAGGCTACAGTCTCTGTTCCTCCTCATTCAGTGGGTTCACATCCACCCTCTCTACTCTCTGACCACATATAATGGTGATTTCTGAATTAACATCTCTCCTTGCAGGGGCTGTCAAGAGGGTGGACAGCACCAGCACACCTCTCTTTTGCCAGAGGTCTGTGGTTCCCCCTAAAGTTCCAGCTAAACTGTCACCTGCCTCGACCATCATAGGTCAGATGGGGGGCCCTTTCTGCATGTCCTCAAACCACTCAGTGCATACAGTGAAGCACTTATCACACTTCCTGTTTTAAAAACTCATGCGTCTCTTCACTGAAAATGTGTAGAGGGCAGGGATGCTGACTGTTACGTATATAATATGTATTATAGATCACATAATATATATATATTGACTTGAGCATGTAACAGGTGCTCAGGTGGTGTATGTAATAGGAGTGAATAGATAAATGATAAGGGCAGGGGCTCAGGCAGAAGAATCACAGGGACAAGGATTTAGGAGTTGGGGCAGTTATCCCTGAATGCTGGGTTTCTTACCACACCAGCAGGGCCTTCTCATGTGATGTGGTCACATCCCAGTACGGTCCACTTGAATGTCCCACGAGTGAGTCACAGGGCAGAGTGGGAGGTCGAGCGCAGAACCACAGTTCCCCCGAATCTTCATCCCTGTAGTGACAGGTAGACTCTTCCTTCCCAGTTAACAGGGGATTAATATTGCAAGTCACAATTTCTTCATATCCTGTGGGTCCCCGAAAATAGCCCATGAAATCGACTGTGGCCCATTGGTCTCTCCAGATTCTTCGCAGAACCCCAATGGCCTCGCTGGAGTGAATCAGCCACACTTGCACCTGGGCCTGCCCAGTCCAGAGAAGGGGGAAGGACAGCAGGTATGTGCCATTCTCCAGATCCTGGACATCCCCAGGGACCCCTGCCTTCAAGTCGGGACCCAGCAGCCATGCCCGAAACAGATCTCCACCATGGGTCTTGGGCCTGCCCCGATGGTCTCTGGCCACAAGGATGGCCTCTAGGGAGTCTCCCAGGGTGTAGCTGGCCTGGGCAGGACCCCTCAGGCAGTAGGTGGAGGTCTGAGGACTGGTGGAGGCTAAAAGTTCCCCCTCTTCTCCTGGGATCAGAGGCCAGCCAGCACAGAAGATGGGTCAGGTCTGAGAGCTCATGGGGGAGAGAGCCAGAGGACTTGGGGGCAGGTCGGGGCCTTGGGGACTGAGGGACAGCTCTGTCAGGCCAGGACACCCTGATGTACAAGATCTGTGGGGAGAAAAAGAGGAACCTGTCAATGGTTTGTGCCTCTTCATATTTGTTTCTGGAAAGAAGTTCTCAATTTGCCAAATTTAGGTCTCTTCTGCCTGGTGAGTCTCAGGAAGGAAGCCTACCTGCCTTGCCTTTTGCTACTTCTGACCCAAAGCTGTTGTCTGAGCCACCACCACACACCTCTGCAAACACCGGCTCGTGTTTAAAACCATACGTCTGTGGGTTTTGCTAAATCCCATGAAGAATAAATAGCATTTCTGTTTCCTGGTCCCTGCACGTTTCTGCCCACCAAGTGCTCACCTCTGACATTCACATTCCCACTGCCACCAGAGGGGGTCCAGGCTTGGACCTAGCCCCCATTTCCAGCTCTCCCCACTCCTTACAATTTCATCTTCTCTTTTTGGACCCCAGACCCCAGAGTAAATCCACCTTCCCCTCCTATTTTTCTCTTTCCACACCCAGTCTACTAGATATCTCCATCCTGGATTTAGAAGGAGGATTTCCTTTCCACATAGAAAGAAGAACAGTCGATGGGCTAGACATGTGGTATCCTGGGGTTTCCTTACACTAGAGGCACAAAGGAGAGCCATGTGCAGTTAGAATTGGGTTTTGGGGAAGCAACAGGCTGTGGCTCCAGCTCTCTCTAGCTCTCAACAAAAATCTAAGTTAGCACAACCTAAGTTGGCCTTGCCTCGTAGGAAACATCTATATGGCTCAAAATCACAGTGCAAATGCTTAGCAATTCCTCCCAGGGCAGGAGGTTAATTCAATTTTATGGCCCATCAGCATTTGATGGTCTCCAGAATTTATCTACCCTGCATCTAATTTAGTCTCTGGCTACACCTGAGCATCAAGGATCTTGACAGCCTTGCTCTGACTTTACTCATAACATAGACATTAGGTTATATGTACACACTCCCGTTCATTTGATTTCCCAAGAGCCAGGGCACTGGGGATGCCCAAATGCCTCCTCTCCTTACATTTCTCCTGGATAAAATCAACATAAGCAGGAAAAAATATTTGGGAGCTACCTCAGAAAGGAAGAACTGGTACAGAGTGGGCGGGGCAGGAGGAGATATTTCCTTCATGCAGATCATTAAGACCTATCTGAAAGGCAATTAATTAGCTCCTGGAATTTGAATTTTTCTGTGTCATGTCACAGGAGTTGCTGGTGTAGTTTGTGACCGAGAAGTGGGGTGGTCATGTACCAGGGACCCACGTACCATGGGGCCAAGAGAAATGTAATTGGGCAATGAGATATGCTATGGTAGAGAACCACAAGAGACCACCAATGATTCTGGGAGTGGCTTGAGATTAAGCCCTTCATCCACAGGACCTATTGAGCCACCACCCCTTCCTCAAGCCAACAGTCAATCAGCTGGTCACTAGCTGTGATCAGTCAACAGGAATGAATGTCCACCTCACTCAGGTTAGTGACAGGGAGGAGCCTGTTTACTTTTCTATCTCTTGGTTTCCCTTCCTGATATCGAAGGGGAAATAGAGAGAAGAGGAATGAGAAAGGTCCATCCGAGCACAACATGCCTTACTCCCCAACTCAAATCAGCTGGAGCCTCAGCTGAATTTGGCAAGAGAGGATAGACAGAGGAGGAAAGGACCAGAGGAGGAGAGCTTTAAACAAGGCATGAAGCTAAATTTGCAAGTGAATAGAACTGAGTCTTAGAAACAAAACTGACTGATAAAATAACTGAAATTGACTTAAAATTATGGAATTAGCCCTGGCCAGTATGGCTCAGTTGGTTGGAATGTCATCCCACACACCAAAATTTTGTAGGTTCAATTCCCAGTGAGGGCACACACCTAGGTTGCCTGTTTGATCCCTGGCCAGGGAGCATATGAGAGACAACCAATCGATGTTTCTCTCTCACATTGATGTCTATCTGTTTGTCTGTCTCTCCCCTCCTCTCTCTCTAAAATCAATAAACACATATTTGTTTTAAATTTATGGAATTAGACCTAGCCGGGTGGCTCAGTTGATTGGAGCATCATTACTTCACCAAAAGGTGGCAGGTTCAATTCCTGGTCAGGAGACATACCTACATTGCAGGTTCGAACCCCAGTCAGGATGGGAGGCAACTGATTGATATTTATTTCTCTCTCTCTGTCAAATAAAATATAAAGAAAACAATAAAAAAAGCAAACAAACAAATCATATCCTTGGGTGAGGATTAAAAAAAAAAGTTATGGAATTAGACTGAGATGTGATTAAGGAAGCCCAGGGAAAGGACAGCATTCAACAGACAGTTGATGGCAACACTTGGAACAATTTAAAAAAATTAATTATATTTTATTGATTATGCTATTACAGTTGTCCTGATTTTTCCACCTTTGCCCCCCATCCACTTAGCACCCTCCACTCCCTTAGGCAATCCCCCTACCATTTTGTTCATGTCCATGGATCACGTGTATAAGTTCTTTGGCCACTCCATTTCCTATACTGTACTGTACATCCCCTTGGTTATTCTGGAACTACCTATTTGTACTTTTTAAGTCCCTCACTTCTTCACCCATTCTCCCCCCTCCCACTTCCCATCTGGCAACCTTCTGGTAACTAACTCCTTTTTGGCTTCCTGGACTTGCATGTCTATTTCCTTCATCAAATTAGAAAAGTTTTATTTCGCTATTATTTCAGATAGATTTCCAATTTCTTGCTCTTTCTTTTCTCCTTCAGGCACCCCTATGAGGCAAATGTTGGACCTCTTGAAGTTGTCCCAGAGGCTGCTTATACTACCCTCATTTTTTGGGATTCTTTTTTACTCTTACTGTTCTGATTGATTATTTTTTTGCTTCCTTATGTTCCAAATTATTGAGTTGATTCTCAGCTTCATCCACTCTACTGTTGTTTCCCTGTAAATTGTTCTTTATTTCAATTGGTGAATCCCTCATTTTTGACTGGGTCTTTTTTATGCTGATGAGGTCCTCATTAAGAAGGTCCTTGAGCTTCTTATAACCATTGTTTTGAACTCTGCATCTGATACATTGCTTATCTCCATTGCATTTAGCTCTTTTTCTGGAGTTTTGATCTGTTCTTTCACTTGGGCCATGTTTCTTTGTCTCCTTGTTTTGGCAGCCTCCTTGTGTTTGTTTCTACGTATTAGGTAGAGCTGCTTTGTTTCTGTGTCTTGGTAGTGTGGCCTAATGTAGTGTGTGTCCTGTAGGGTCCAGTGACACAGCCTCCACTATTGCCTAAGCTGTGTATTAGAGGTGTACCCTTCTTGGGGGCTGAGTACACCCTCCTCTTGTAGTTAAGCTTTGATTGCTGTTGGCAGATCAATGGGAAGGATTTACCCAGACCAGTCTGCTGCAAGGATCGGCTGTGACCATTTACCACCAACCTCTGCCCTCCATGGAGGATGAGCTGTGCAGGGGCAGGGTGGTAGTACTCTGATGTGGTCTGCAACTGTCCACTGGGTTCACTGGCCCCGGAGTTTCCCGGGTGCTGCAAGCCAAGGTTAGTCCCCTCCTGTGTTTTGCCTGGGGCTGCCCTTTCCAAGCTATAAAGCAATTAGAGAAGGTTGCCCCTTATGCTGGGCTTGGAGATTCCCAGGCCAAGCTGTGAAACTAATCTGGCTGCTGCTAGTGCCTGGCCTGGAGCTGAGTGCAGTTGTTTCTTCTTTGGTAGGATTTAGGAAGTTGTGAAGCATGAGCCAATACCAGCCATTCATATGGAAAGGTAGCTTGGATGGACCTGAAAGGTGGATGGGGTGGAGTCTCTGAGGATCTCCAAGGCTGGTCAAACAGTGTTAGCCAGGCTGATGGAGTCTCAAATTGGCACCCGCCTGCTGGCTCCATGACTCTGTGGGGGAAGGGCACAGAAATTGGACAATGGACTCTGCTTGCCTTGATGCCAGGCACTTCAGCCTTTCCCAGTATGCCACTGGTACCCCTCAAGCTGCCACCCTGGTGCTGGAGCTCAAAGGGAATGAGCCTGAGTAAGTAAGTCTGTGTGTGAGTTCTTTAAGAGTAACTGCTTGGAATTCCAGCAGTTTCTTCCACCAGCTGGTTTTTGCAGCCAGAAGTTGTAGGGACTTATCTTCCTGGCACTGGAACCCTGGGCTGGGAGGCCTGGTGTGTGGCTGGGCTTGCTCGTTCCTGAGATATCCCTCCCTAATTTTTATCCACCATATGTGGGTGAGAGACCAATCTGTTCCATGTCTATGCCCCTCCTACCAGTCTCAATAGATATGTTTTTTAAAAATTCTGTGGTTGTCAGACTTCCATTCATCTTGATGATTCTGAGTGATGGTTGTTCTATATTTTGGTTGTAATTTTGATGTGGTTGTGTGAAGAGGCGAGCCATGTCTGCCTATGCCACTACCTTGACCAGAAGCTGCAAGTAGACTTTTTAACTACAAATTCAACTTCCACAACATATATAAAGCTACTCAGGTTGAATATTTATTTTTGACTCATCTTTTGTTTTTGTCTTCCAAGGAATTGTCAGTTACATGAAAGTTGTAGAATTTATTGGGTTAAATTTGCTTGTGTCATTTTATTATTATTTTAATATCTGTAGAATATGTATTGATGATACCTTTTTGCATTCCTGATATTGATAATTTCTTTTTACTCTTTTTTACTAGTAGTTTGATTAGAAGTTAATCAATTTTATTGGTCATCTCACAGAACCAACTTTCAATTCATTTTCTATATTTTTCTGTTTTCTATCTTATTTCTGCTCTGATATTTATGTCCTTTCTTCTGCTTACATAGAGTTTCTTCTTTTTCTAGCTTCTTGAGGTGGAAACTGAGTTCATTGATTTGAAATCTTCTTTTCTGACAAAGATATTTAATGCTATAAATTTCCCTCTGAGTATCTTACAGAATTTTGTAGGTCTGTTATTATTTTCCTCCCATTAAAAATACTTTCTAATTTCTTTTCAAATTTTTCTTTTGACCCACTGGGCTATTAAGAAGTGTATTATTTAGTTTCCAAATATTTGGGAAGTTTTTAGAAATCTTTCTATCGTTTTCTATTATTTCAGTAGTGATAAGAGAGCACAAATTTGTATTTTTGAAACATTTGTGGAGGGGAAAGAGAAAGGAGTTCATTTGTCAAGAACAAAATATTAGTGACCTTAACCAGGCTAGGCCTGGATTCCAACAGGTATAAGACAGTAGACAAAGAAACTGAATTTCCTCTTAGTATGGTACTTCCTGGTTGATGGGGAGAAAGTGAAGATGTCCTGAGGTACAATAGGGTAGGGTGGCTCAAGGGCTTATTGCTCTACAGTTATATCAGGAAATGTCATCTCTTGGGGTAATCTTTTCCTCTACCAGGATCATGTCCCTGAGGTATAAACTCTATTCTGACATAGCACTTCTCCACTGAATTCCTGTTTCCTGTTCTCTGACATGGACTTGAGTTGGACT